GGAAGCACAAAATTCCGTTCAGTGAAAATGTTCCACATTTTTCTGCACATTTAATAACTGACTACGTGAAAATATTAAATATCATAGCAAAGCTCGCTGATAATGTATTGAACATTTTAAAATAAAACTTTGTCGATATTATTTTTTCTCTGTAATAACCAATTAAATCTATTTTCACATTGACACTGAAAGGTGAAGATCTCGCCAAACTCGCGCCAGTAATTTCGACGCATTTCGAAAAGCCGGATCACTTATAGATAAGCAACAGCTGCAAGTTAGGGATATAGTATTTGAAATCGTAAATAAAATTAGCTAAGACATGCACAGATAATTCCGAAGGAAGACTGTGAAAGGAACAGATCATTTTTGTTGTATAATCAATAGATAAAAGCGGGTTATCAAAGGTTGTGTAAAACCAAGACTATTTTATGTTTGACTCCACGCTTATCAATTATGAGTGCTAAATGAGTTTGGCGACAGTATTTGTCAGTCGACAGGAAAATTCGTTATTAAAACCTTACCAACGTTGTTACCAACACTTATTTTGGGGGAATTTGTCTTAATGTTTGTAAGTACGTTTCTTAGATCTATATTCATGAAAATAAAGTCGGAAAACATCGTATTTCTTATCCAGATTAGGTAGCATTACAATAGTTGTAGAAGTATTTCTTACTGTTTCGCTGAGATAAGCTCGTCAGTATCCGAGTGGAGAAAGCAGCTCAACACACTCTAGTCCTCTGGGATTCAGTTCCCGGTTTAGTGTTTTAATTTCATGCTTTCAAAGTGTAACCCATCTAGTGGCGGGAAACTGAAAGCTGTTCGTCTAGATTTTTGGTCCGTGGAACGATGTTCTTAGCTTCCCCATGTCTACAGTCGGTTTTCCTTAGAAAATATTGTAAGACAATCCTCCATTTAGACTAATAGCTTTGCTTATTTTTCCTTGGCGAACCAACCAGTTTCAGAGATTGTTTTAAATCTTCTTAATAAACAGGTGATAAAACTGGAAAAGGGAAGTTATTTTGTAGAATTTAACTTTTGAACAACAGTAAAACGTTGCAATCATTAGAGCCTGTTTTAATTAGTCCCCTGAAACGGATCCAGCGAGACTTCCTTAAGCCAGGAAGGTGTATGCAATTAAAATTTTTGACAGTAAAATATTTCGAATCTATATTTCGGAAATCTAGCATTTCCATATATTTGTATCAGAATTTGACGAACTTCATAAATGGCAATAGAACATTCTAAGAAGTTTCATTTGATGTTTTTGACTGAATTTGTTTTAATCTCTTAACTGTATTTTTGTTTGTGTTGGGTGTGCTGCGTTAAACATGAGGCTGATTAGGAGGGTTTCAGCACATACGCATATTACATTACCTTATGTATCAGGAAATGAAAGTAACTGAATCTTGCCAGAAGCCAAAACTAAATTCTTGCATGAACATAAACGTTTGGATTGCATTTTTACCTTACAACATGCATGAATCGGTAAACCTCGTATCAAAATAAGCTTTCCTTGACTCCATGTGGCTTAGACCTTTGAGCTAGATAAAACTATTTATTAAAGCAAAGTATACGAGGGTTAGCCATCCAGACGGTATAGTAGTCAGGGGAACCTACTGTGGTACTGAAGGGCCCGGGTTCTAATCCCGGAGAAGGCATGGATGTTTGTAAATGTATAGTTTCTGTGCCGCATGTGGGCACTCTGAATATGCGACTATTGCCCTCTCGAAAGGTTGGTGGTAAGGGAGGAGGGGTGAGAGACCCTCAGGCCAGTTTCCCAGGGCTGATCTTTATCAAAACTGGGGACATAACTGAGAGAAGTCGTACTGTCACCTGTATGGCATTCAAGGCTCTTGCCAACGACAGGCACAGTCTTGCACTCCTTGTTACGATGAATTTCATGGTCTTGTTCTGATAGCTGTCAGAAAATGAGAAATCGCAACACAAGAGGGCCGTCTACATCCTGACTGCATTCCACACTTGATCGAAACCCTCGCACATAGATAAGTTAATCCAGATGTCTTAAGTCTAATGCCGCAAACTACGCTGTTTTGTCCTGGGCATTTGCTGTCATGAAACTTGCTGTTAGGATTGGTTTTCATTTTCTGTTGTGTCATAATTGATACAATAAACCTATACATATTGAGATTAAAGGTTAGTCTAAAGTATTGACTTCGTATATCTTGGAGAACGTTGCTGTAACTAATATTTATCAAATACAAGATTTTGATAGCACAGTCTGTATGTCTTCTATCCCGGTTATTTTATTAACTGCTTACTAGACTCTCTCAACCTAGAACATGCATAAAAATTACTTAAGTACACATTTCAGCCATTACGTGAGTGAACTGAAGATTAAAATTTGCTTCAACTAAAAAATATTCATCAGAAATTTTGCAGCATTTTTAGTTCAAATTTGATGAACCGTTTCGGTAAGTACAAAGGGGCAGCCGTTTCGGTACTTTCGTATTATCGGAATCACTTTAATAGAAATCGCTAAACTCTGGAAATCACGCGCATGACAATTCTTGCGACAACCATTGCGAGACAAATCAATTTTAACACTAACAATGTCATATTTTTGTGTTCTTTTCTTTGTATTCAACAACGTTTGTACATACAAATCGTGATTTTTTTTCCAGTCTTAAATTTAATTTTAAATATGTGCTCGTGAAATTTGGCTGCATTGCAAGGAGCTGTACTAAAATTTCTGAAGGAATAAGGTATTTTGCTGCAAAATCGTTAAAGGGAAGAGTTGCTCTGAGTCTCTTCATAAAGCGATCGCCACGAAATTTCCACACTACAATAAAAGAAAAGCCCGCGTATAAGTAGGTTTACTGGCATTTTTTTGGGAGGGGGGAATAAATATTTAGTAAAACGCAAAATGTCTGCAATAATGTTGTATGAAAAACATATTTTAGAATTCTAAGTCATCCTTATCTAAAATTCCCCCAACTGTGCCAAAGTGGTTACGCTAATACGTAAAAACACCCCTAAAACCATATAATATTTTTCGCACAAGTTTCCTGTTATCTCCTTAATGAAGGCATGTAAAACAAATTATCAAAATTTTAAACATGTGTGGTTTCGGCGAGTAAAAGATTTAACTGTGGAAAAGGCATGAAACTGAGCAGTGCCCAGCATATCACGAAGTAGAAAAAAATCTGATCTTTAATACGACCTTTCATCGTTTCAGCGGTTATGCGAGTAGCTTAGACGGAGTACAGAATTTTTGCTCTTTGCCTGTTAATTTCCTGTTGCATTAAATAAACTTCGGAAAAATTCTTTCTCGAAAATTTTCGACTTCTGCTTTCTGACTTAAGTCAAATCTGTCGACAACTTGGAATCCAAATATTATAAATTTAATTAAGGAAGTTTTTAAATCACATCCACAGATTTTGAACATGTGTCTTGCACAAAGCAGAATTTTTCTTTTCCTTTTAACGGAGATCTCGTGCAATGCAAAGAAGGAATTCTAGAATTAATACTAAGAGCTAACTGTTTTCTTATTCAAATGATGCCTTTAAGTACATTATCTGATATTCATAAAGTTGCTGTAGGGCATGCTAGTACCCGATCAGATCAGTCCAAATAAGTAATTTGTGGAAGGCTCTATTCGTGGCGGCTGCGATATTTTCTCCATACGGCAAATTCATGGAAACCAACTTTAAAAATTCTCCACGAAGGCATCCTTTGAAGGAAACTCGGATATGCTTTGTATTAAAAAAAACTATATACCTAGTAAACGACTATCTTATTTATATTCTTAGTACTTTCTGATTATCCTCGACTCCGGTTTCAACTTTCCGTACGATAGCCAGTTTTGAGTTATACACAGGACGATAAATAACTTGTGTATGCGTGTTTGAGTGCACGTGGATTTTTATATTAACGGTGATTTCACTAAACGGATCGACCGGCGGCTGTGAAATCTCAGTACTATCAAGTTTCTTTTAAAAACTTTTATTATTAAATGCTTTTCATTTATGAACAGATTTTATAAGTCATATAGCCAAACAAATGTTTCTCTAATTCGGTCTTCAATTAGTTGACTTTTCGTGGGGTACGAATAATCAAAGCACCGTTTACTATAACGTAATTAATTTTAACACTAGAACTTCACGAAATTTTAGGCTGTTTTATATATCATTAAATGAACTAATATTTATAATTTTATGCTCATTAAAAGGCAGCAAACTCTTCATCCAAATGCATTACGTCTGTTAAATTTCCAACGTAACAAGTAATTATTCTATGTATGCTGGGATGTTTATGGTCCTTTAAGGTGTGATAACGCTATGGCATTAACACAATTTGTAGCCTTAGTGAAGCTCGTTGCTAAGCAACGACTTAGCTTTAAATCTCGATTTGAAGTGAATATCCGCATGTTTAATGTTCTTGCTAAGAATAGAATGTAACCATTGTAACTAAGGGTAATGCAAGGAAGTTAATGAGACTGTTATGGTGACTGCGTCTATGTCGGTCTCAATTGTGCTGTCCAGGAGCATAAACAATTTGGGATTGAGCCGCTAAGCTGATTTAACAAGCATTCTCGTCCGAGGTTCCTCCTATTCTAGTGTTCATATATACATTGACGCTACAACATTCAAATCTTTGTGTGTGTATATATATCGGAAACCAAGAACTTTAGAAATGTCTTCATTGCAACGGCACGTACAAACATTTGGGAGTGTTGTAGATCGCACACTGACTTCATGGTTAACTGCATTTGTTCCATCTTAAATTTTCCTCTTTATTGTGCAAAATGGAACCATTAAACGTCTTCTGGGGTATTTGCAGATTTAGCCGACAGCACGCAGCAGGCCAAAATAAACTTTTAGGTCACATACAACAGGCAAAAATTAACGTGAGAATAAAGTACTTCAGTATATCCTGTTTCAAGTCTTGCAATTATTTTAGTAAAACCAATTATCTAGATTTAAGTTAAGTCTTTAATTTCATTCGTACGTAGAAATGTGTTAATAATGCTTCCATTTTAGACTATATGTACCGAAAATAAGTTTGAGAAGATTGTAAACGAAATAAAAATCCCCACAAGCATAGAGGCATTGGTTGGAAGTGAAGGAAAGGAGTACACGCAGCCAGTATCAAAGTAAGCATGTATATTTCATGAAACTAGTAATTTTTTGAATTTTCGTTTTACGGGATAAAAAATGGATAATTTCTAAAACTGGTAAATATTGGGCGAATACAAAAACTATTGCCGCTTCCAACAAACAAGTTTAATTTTGCTGTACTACGGACATTGGCAACAAGCTATAACACGACGATGTGAAATTTAATAGTTGCAGTATTGCTATGTATACGCTTTCACACGAAAAGTGCTTCTTGGTTAAACTGTCTTAGTTTGATACCTAACCTACCTGAAAGTAAACCGACTGTCTTAAACATCACGCACATTCGCTGTGACGAGATCCCAAAGCGTAAAGCCGCAATCCTGATACAAACTGCAAGCTTCTCTGCTAATTCATGCACAATGATTTTGTTTGCTAATGATATCAGAGTTCTTGACTTTTAAGCACTAAGATCTTCGCGATCTTTGCTGGTATCAGAGCTACTTCCCATTACACCCCCCCCCAGTATCGAAACCAGATTTTATGTCCTTGCTTTAAATACCATATCATTCGGCATTTTGATATTCGCGTGATCCAGTGATATGATCCAGTTTCTCTAAGTCCTCCGCGAAGGACATCACTTGCCCTAGGCAGATAGTCGTTGCCTGCATAGCCGTAATTCCTTACTATCACATTTAAAGTTTTTCGAACGTAAGTTTGAGATTTGTAATTGCAATAAATACCAAACATCAAAACAGAATAGTTCAATTTTTATTGACAATACTTGCTTTAGGGGTAAACACTGTAATAAAGTAACACTCGTTTAAGTGTGGAGAAAAGTAATGCTGAAACATCTATCTTTTCAATAAAAAGACTTGCCAGATTTTGTCCTGTAAAGTTAAATCCAAAACCCTAATCTCATATTTAGCCATTTCGCAATTTTATCACTTAAATATAAATTGACAGCACTTTCATCTTCACCAGTGCTATTGTCTCGCCAGCTGCCGAACTGTTAATTTATTGAAAACCAATAGACTACCCGGCGAAATGTCTGGCTGTATGGGAGATTAAAATTGACTGTCGTACCAAGCTATGCATTTTGAATATACAACTTTATATTCATTAGTTTACTCTTTTCCAAAGGCTTTATTAGCTAGGCATATTTCTAAGATTTACCGTTGATTCAAAAACCAAGAAAGCATACAATTTCGCCAGTAAATTTGACCTATTTGTGCCATACTGCGTTTAATTTTTAAAAATACCAGCGGTCGAGTGGTAAAATCGCTGAACACTGGTAGTTCGGTCCGAAGTTCGAATCCCGCGAACGGGCTGGCTGCATGGCCGTTTTCGTGGTTTTCTCCATGTGTAACGTGTATACGAGCCAGTTTCCCTTAGAAAGTCCTCCACGAAGGCATACCTCCCCTTGGGCAGATAGCCCTAGTGTGCTTTGCCGTATTCTCAATACACACTTAAATTTTGTTTATGAAAGTTTCATATTTAATTTTGACTGATTTTCTGAAACGCATTCATTAATCATTGCATACTTGGTATAGTAACCTTTATGCTCGAAATTTATCATAACTTATACCAACAGGCATGTTCCCTAATTTATCTGTCTATATGAAAACGCGTCTCCAAGCCTTCCAATTTCTATACCATGAATGTCTCAGCAGAGGAACAGTTAGAGTATTAAGGGTTAAAATAAACTAAATCGAATCTTTTTTCTGTTTCAGAGTTGTGACCCCTGAACTGTTTCTAAGTATTCAGCAGGAATTTCTTGATAAAAAAATTTTTATCACTGGTGTCACAGGATTTTTAGGCAAGGTGAGTAATTTTTAAGTCTAGTTCAGACACTGTTGTGTAATAAATACGTAGTAAAGATTATATTGTAAAGGAAGCATGCAAAATGTTTAGTAGGTCATAAAAGATTTAAGCGTTTTTCTAATTTAGTTTATCGAAAGCAATTTTTCACCTTTGTTTTTTTACATTTAACTTAATATTTTCAAAGTTTTTATGAATGTATTGCAGATTTACATCGGAGGCTCGTAGGATATATGTTTGGCTTTAATACCCGAGCTGGTCTGAATTTTGAGAACGAATGTTTTCGGTATAGGATATTAAATAATAATCATTGAACTTTTAATCAAATAGTTCCCAAATGCAAGTTGGAAGTAAGTTGTATTATTACAATTTAAGCTTTTACCTGCTTTTTCCTTATTGGTACTCTATCTAATCGCTAAATGTTACCCTTGCAAACCTAGCATTCGTATCCTAGGGAAGTTGCTAGATTTTACGTTAACATAAACATAATTTTGAAAGTACCTTAAAAGGCATTAGAAAGTCCTCCACGGAGGTAGCTCTCGTGTGCTTTGCCATAATTAAATAAACCAAACCAAAACCTTGCAAGGCAGTGGTTTGCAAGATTCATTGAACGTTTCTACTTGTTCTGTCTCAATGCAAGTTCCACTAGAGGCCCAATAGTTAAGACCTGTGAATCCTGGGAGTTCGACCAAGATTTGATCAAAGAAGAACGGGTTGACTACATGGCTGCTTTTCGTGTTTTTTCCCATGTAACATAAATACTAGCCGTTTTCTCTTAGAAAGCTATCGAATTTATCATTCCCTAGATAATTTTCCACAACTGAAATGGTATTCTATATAATATGATCATGGTATCGGTGTTGCTATATTCAACAAAGACCGTGCACTATGCGATTCAAAATTTCGCTCTCACGCGCGCCACCCTGTATGTCAGCTGGATTGTCGCAGATATAATGCATCGTTGTTTACAAGCATTATTGGGTGTGAAAGATGCTGGAATCAAGCCCTTAAGCCTTTTGGGAGGTCCTGCTCCAATCTCCACATTTGAGAACTTTCTCATAGACAGTTTTCAATTACTATTGTCATACAGAATGGAGTGAGTTCGCATTCAAATAGATTCGCTGCCGTATTTTTCATATCTTCTGTTCGACTGAAAAATCTTTAAAATATTGAGCAGATCTTTCTCTGCGTTCTTCACTTATCCAACTATCCTCCAGAATTAGAAATAAAAATCTTGGTAATTTGACTTCATGCTTCAAAAAGAGTTGTAGTCCAAAATTTTGCATTCTTTGCACGTCTGTTACTTGAGAAATGATATGTACTATCCAGTTTCCCTTTAAGTCTTCCACGCAGGCATACTTCACGTTAGGCAGATAGCCCTCGAGTACTTTGCCCTAATCAAGTAAATGTTAAATTTGATACTCGGTTAAACACATATTTACCTGAACTAAACTCCTTACCTATTCATTTTTATAGGTTCTATTGGAGAAGTTGCTTAGATCATGCGCTAGGATTGAAAAAATTTTTGTTCTAATGAGACCTGTAGGAAATGCAACTCCTCAAGCAAGACTTCGTAAGTTGCTCGAAAACGAAGTAAGTTGCTTTTATCAAATCAAAGTGTTTTAAGATATTGTATATTCATTTTGCAATGGATGCGATTTCTGTTAGGCTTTTTTTCGAGTGCGTTTATGCTAACAACATGAAAACAAAAGTTTATATTTTGAAGCATTTAAGACCTTACCTCTTGCCTACCGCTTCACCTATGTTTAGACCGTTTAGATTTATACGATCCAGTTCCCTTAGAAAGTCATCCATGAAGGCATCCCTACCCTTAGGCAGATAGCCTAATGTGCTTTGCCATAATTAAACCAAACCTAGACTGTTTAGAAATTGGAAAACTTAGGTAAAAATGTTAAACTATGTTCAATGGGATATTACGAGTACTAGTAATAGTTCATTTTGCATTAATTATATAAAGCTAAGGATAAGCATGTTTATTTGATATAAAAACGTGATCACATTTTAATTGCATACTGATTTTATTAGACTGCTTTCATAAATTCTGGTATAATTGGTAATAACAATTACGTGACGGAATGTTGCATCTGTAAACAAAGCTCTTTCGGGGTTCTGGTTTTACGGTATGCAACTTAACTTGAATGCTCTGCAGTACAGACATGTATTTTGTATTAAGTATCTAGCTCAAAAATCAAAGTTCAGCATTAAGAACCAGCGTAAATTGTTAAATCTAGTTTGTTTGAAAAATGTGTTCTCCCCTAAACAAGATACTAGCTATGAATTCTTGCTGTTCCTGCATGATTTTATCCGAATTTACATTAAAAGTTTTCCGGCTTCAGTTTACTGAGCTTGATTTAAATGTACGGAAGTGTCACTAAGTTGGATACTTCATTAGTAAGGAGTTGTTGCCATTAAGCTATGCCTTGTGCGACACCGTAATCAAGGCAAGTGTTAAAGATGTGGCCTGCCAAATATCTTCTAGAAATTCCCTTGAATCAGTTTAAGACGCTGATGATGGATAACGTGTTTGCAATACCTTTTTCAGGAGCATCCAAAAGGTTTTAAATTGGATTTAAGTTCAGCCTTCTCGGTGGCCATTCCAGCGGGGAAAATTCAATGGAATTCTCCGGGAACCAGGTAGTAGATAACGGATCTGGCAGAATCCTGCAGATGCACTTCATTTCCATCCGGATAGCACAAAAGTGTGAAGGAATGTTAAGTGATTGCTCAGCTTTGCATAAAGATTTGTAGTTTAGTTTGCTGCAAGTACCAAAGCAGCTAAACGTTGCCAGAAAAAAATCCGCTAAGCCGCCCTGACCTTGCATAGTACCAGTTGGGTCGGTGGATAAGTGGCTTAATGGGCTTTTGCCATATTAGCTTTTCATCAGCGTGATGCTATCAGTCGACTCTGATTGATAAACTACACGCATGCAATAGTAGGTGATCGAGTGACTATTCTGCGGTTCATGGAAGATGGCGAGCGTGGTGGTGGTGAAAGGTTGTATTTACGTGGATCTGGAACTCTGAAGTTCAAACGGTGAAGCGAGAGTCGCACAGTCCATCTACTTACTTTCGACTGAACGTTTTACTAAATTTGAACACTTGAGCTAACGGCCGGTTTACACGTCTCCGAGTGACTTTTGGCGAACCCGTCGTCCGAGCGAACGGACCTGTAATCTGATTGTTTTACATCAATCACAGCCGGACTGACACCTCCCCTCCTTTTTTTTTTTTTTTTTTTTGCAAAATGGATACCGACGTGCAAGTTGCTGCGCTTGAAGTTTGCGAAGCAGTTTCCAACGAATTTAATCTTCTGTTCTAAGGAAAAGAAAGGAAATCAAAACGTGATTGGATAGCTCGTCGTGATGAATTGGGATCATTAAATCAACTTTTAAATGAACTTCGGGATAAGGATATCCAAAGTTGCAAAACATTCACCAGAATGTCTGTAGGATAATTTGAAAGTTTATTGGAAATGTTCACTCCACTTATTCAGGGGAAAATATACGCTCTTTCGAGATGTTCTGCCAGCAAAATTAAAACGAAGATAGCGCTTCGGTTTCTGAGAAGGAGTGAATCCTACAGTTCTCTGCAATATTTATTTCTAGTGCCGAAATGCAGAATCACCATATTTATTCCAGAAGTATTTGAGGCTATTTTTTGTATTGAGGTCGAACGAAAATTATTAATCTTTTACTTGAACTCTCAAATTTTAACATGTTAATAATAACCTCATACGCCTTCTGTCGGCGAGTTTTATTTTAATACTTCCGACTAATCGTTTGTAAATAAAATCCAATTTGTTGTTCAAATAAAAAGGAAAGTCTATAAATAAAATTTCAACGTTTTATTAGGTGTAATTGGCCAAAAACTGGTTGAGTAAAAACTGGTTTTTCGAAATTTATATCAACAAAATAAAATGTTTGATATTTATTTTTTAATTCAAAAACTATTTTATTGGGTAGAGGAATTATTTTACTGGGTAGTTGAATAACTTGTTTTTTGATTAAAGAAAATTTAAAAATATATATTTTGAATCCGATACCCTAATTTTTCTAAAATATCAGAAACCTGAATTCATTCTGTTCAATGGTTATATCCACATTATATTTAGGTCGCAATATTCGGGTATTAAAGTATCTCATAAGACTTCACAAGATGCATATGGCATTAAAAAATGCCATATTTAGATTATCGCTGTATCTCGGCAAACGGCGCGACGTCTCTGCGATCACTCTCGGAGTTACTGCCCGAATAGATTTTTTAACTGGTTCAAAGTAGAAACGGACTTGTCTCCCCTACGTTTCTACTCGGTCGAAGTGAGCGTTTACATTATCAGGGAAGTGTAACCTGTAAACTTAAGGTTTGGTGCTTCTGGTTATGTATTTTGCAACTTAAGTCGAAGATCAGATTCAAGGCTGCTGGTCCTTTTCAATTTGGAACAGACTAACTGTCGAGTAGTAAAATCGCTGGACAGTTGTTAGTTCGACCTGGGTTCGATTCCAAGTGAAGGACTGGCTGCGTGGGCGTTTTCGTTGTCTTCCTTATTTTTAACGTGGATACAACCTAGTTTCTCTTAGAAAAATCTTCCAGGAAGGCATCTCTTATTTTAGTAGATAGCCCTCGCGTGTAGTGGCATAATTAACAAATTAATGCACCAATAAAAATTCAAAAATGACATTTTTAGCCTATTTGTTATTCATTTTAATCTAACTTGAAACTGTTGTGGATATATTCCGTTCTGTTCATACCTGAAAAATTCTTGAACTCTGCGCAGAGATAATTTAATTCTGTCTATCCGAGTTAACTCTGAGTGCATTAAGAGGCTAAACCTTTCAGTTTTTTTTCCTGCTGTGTATCGGCATATTGTGGAACTAGAGCCCCAAGTTTTGGACTACTTGTGAAAATTACTCGTGCTTCGAGCACCTATGTCGTCTATCGAAGGCGTTTGAATCGCCACTTTTAACAGTTAATAATTGCTTCCAGGTATACATACATCCTACAACATCCGGACATGAGCAGAAAGCAGATACCACAGTTTTTGTATAACTCTTTCTGTTTGATTTAGTGGAACTTCAATGTATTGTTTAGGTTTTATCACGTTTCGAAATTTCGTTTTTGAGAAGCTCGTAGTCCGGGAATGAGCCTATGAGCTAATATCTTATACTAGATTTATTATTCTCGTAATCAGTGTTTATTTTACAATAAGAAATTATAGTGAAGTACACTCGGTACGGTAACAGAACTCGTTAAGCTAGATTATTCATTAATATGCGAGTTACTTGATATTTCGCAAACACGGCTTTTATACTCTGACAGAGTTTGCACGTAACTACTGAATGCGCTGTAGTATAGCTGAATGAAATTTTTTACACTGGATCTGGCGAAGAAAGGATCCTGAAGTTCTCGTAAAAATGGGTAAGTTGGAGCTAGAATAACTTGTGGTACTTGAGCCAACTGTTTTTATTTCTGTCAGTTGTTTGCTCTGATTCCACAAACCGATCATGAAACTTTAAAAACCGCACCGACGTCTGCAAGTTTAAAAAAAAAGTAAACAAAACTGTGACATTCAAAGAACGGTTTAATAATGTGGCGAGTGCAACATAAATGAGAATTGCTGCATATTGAATTTCAATTGCATAATAAACGAGAGCAAGAGTGCTAGGAAGAAAATCTGAATAGCAAGCTACATACAGCTGAAGTGGTAATGCTGCTATAAAGCCCATTTCTTGTAGAAATATTGACACCAGTTCTGTACTTTTCTCTTGTAATTAAAAAAACTGAGCTTTAATATTTTTTGGCTAGCTGTTTGATAGAGTCAGAAGGGAATTCCCGGATGCTTTACTCAAAGTGGAAATGGTTGACGGAAATATAATTGAAACTAATCTAGGACTGAGTGGAAAGGACTACGCAAATGTTACCAGTGTGTCGACCGTATTCCACTGTGCAGCTACTGTCAGATTCGAAGATGATCCCAGGTAAGTTTTTCGATTTTGATTCATGAATTTTTTGTGAAAGTTTACTGTATAACGACTGACTGTAATGTAAAATAGTTTTTCTCATTCCGTTTTAAACACTTGAAAACTCGGCCGTAATGTTTTTTGCTCTCAAATTTTGACAAGCCCGATACTATATTTAATCCTAGTAAATACCATACTTTACGCTTATTTCTAATAAATTCACTATTCGAGTGTACTAAATCGCTTAAATTTTGAAATCCTAATTTACTTCACCTTTTTTAATTTGAAGGCCAACCAGCGGCCGAGCGGTTAAGTCGCTGATAGTTCCGACCTGGGTACGTTTCCAGATAAGCGGGCTGGCTGTATGGTCGTTTTCGTGATTTCCCTATATGTTGGCGTGCATACGAGACAGTTCCCCTCACAAAACCCTTCACGAAGGCATCCCATTCATTAGGCACATAGCCCAAGTGTGCTTTGCTGTAATCAAATAAACCAAAACGGAACTTTCTAAAATTGAAAACCAAGGGGGACTAAACCATTTTTATCGAAGAAAGCAAATTTGCTCGATAGCTTATTTTGTGTTAAATTCGGTCTATGGTAATAGCGCTTGTTTATGTCGCGTAATACCAATAGTTTCAATGACGCTTGACCTTTTTCACATCAAGAATTGCCAAGCCATTTTATAACAGAATTAGCTTTTATAAACTTAAGTATTTGCGCGTAATGTAGAAAAATTCATCAGACATGCTTTAACAAGTACAAATGTTACGGAAGTTAATTATTTATTGGAGTACTACCTCCTGTTTTTAAAATATTTCGTATATATTAGTGCTATTAGTTCATTTTATAAATATAATTATAAATAATACTTATGATATAAATATATTTATAAATTTTATATTGTACTTTTCCTTTAAAGTTATACCACCCATTTTTCCCGCTATATTGTCTCACTTTGACTTTCTCTAAGCTTTTGGTTGGACACTACCCACCAACGGCCGAGCGATGAAGTCCTGGAACGCTGATAATTGGATCATAGTTTCTAATCCCAGCCAACGGGTTGGCTACATGGCCGTTTTCGTGGGTTTCCCCCATGTGCAAGTTGTATACGAGCCAATTTCCCTTAGAAAATCCTCCACGAAACCATCGTTAGCTTAGGCAAGTAGCTCTCGAGTGCTTTGCAATAACTAAATAAAATCGAAATTTGGCTGGACACTAGACGAAATGGAACGATTGTCACCACAAGATCCTCCAAAAAATCAATTTTAGGGAAAGAGCTCGCACTACATTCTCTTTCTATCGATTTCCACAATTTTTTGCACCCATAGATTTCAATATTAGGACGAGATAACCGATACATATCCCTCTTGTGTAATTCCAGTCAGCCATTGTCATTCATTTGAAGCAAGCTTTGGTTCACAGATCTTGATTGTGTAAACTCGTGTCGCCATAAGAAAATGAATCGTATGGCAGTATGATTAAGCGATCTAATTATGATTAGATGTCAGAAAATGCGTGATCCAACAGAAAATGTATTAGGATACGCCTTTTTCTTCACAGTATGAATGAAAGCTACACAATCTTTCTTTGTGGAGGACCCCCACCAACCGCCAAGTAATTTGAACTGTTGACCAGTGGTAGTTCGACCGGGTTCTAATCCCGGACAACGAGCTTTTCCCTATGTGTAACTTGGATATGAGCCAGTTTGTGTCCTCTACGGAGTCCCTGTTAAGTAGGTAGTCCTCGTGTAGTTCGCCATTTTTAATCAATCAGTATTTGTGAAGATATCTCATTTTTGAAACAAGATAGCCGCATCTTCAGCTTTTGACAAAGGCATAGTCGCGAAATCGATTGCAATAGAGAAGTCCGTCCAGGAAAAGAAGCCAAACTAAATTCCAGCAGAGGAATTAGCGCCAAAACAAAAAATGTGAAGTGGTATGGCTTTTACGAAAAAACATTGGTATTCTATATTTTTTATTGAATAAAAATGGTGACAACTAAAAATTCTACTAGAACATCGTATGGTGTACAAGAAAAAAGCAACATTCCAGGGAATTCAACTGCAGATTCTTAAACGCTTGGATTTGCAGGTAACTGTCAAATGTAGTCGGTCTTTTCGATGATGTTAAGAAGTGAACTGCACTGAGTGGAATCACAGTTCAGCGTTCTTGCAGAGAATATAAAATTTTACATAAAATGGTTATTGCTGCTCCCATTTCGGTAAAACTCGTTTTGATTTTTTTAAAGAATGGAGGTATACGTAATCCTCAAAATGGATAGTTTTGTTCGAAACTGATGTCCTAATGTTTTCCCTAATTTTAATTATCTTGTGCTTGATCCGAGAGCTATATGTGGTGCGCAGAGCAACGTGTTACCTCTCGTGCTGAAACATTTTAAATAAGCTCTTCGATAGCAGTATAGGCATGCCTATGCAATATCAGGGCTGGAAGCCTGCCGTCAGTGAGATCACTACAGCTCGTAAATTCTGTGCCCAATGTCTGGTTAAAAGTTTGTTGCCCCTAAATGCTGCCTCTCGATGCGGCTCTGGAGTCGGCATAAAACAAGTATATATAAACGCAGATATTTAGGGAAGAGTGAAATTTTCGGACTGAATTGGTACAAAATTTTAACCATATTAATTTATAGATACCGGGAACAATATTCAGTATATCAAATCTTTGATAAAGCCTTAATATACAACTACTCCTTTTTGGCGTCTCTTTTCTAACTTGAAATTTTCTAGAATTAGTTTCAGAAACTGATAAAATATTCCACTTCATAAATCTCTCCATTTCTTGCCCTTCATAAACACGTGCTATCTTTTCTTCAACTATTTAATTTTTAAGCATACTGGTAAATGCAAGTAAATTCAATTCTCCTAAATCTAATAAGGTTACGAAATTTTCGTAAATTCTGAGAAATATAAAGGAAAGCAAGTTAATTGATCTTAAGATAAATGCTTTAATGAGCATCTAAATAAGGAAACCATATGTATAGGTATAAAAAAACAATTTTCAGTACTTCTGTAGGTAGAAAATGTCATTATTGGAACAATTTAAAAAAAACTTTTGTTTCTTTGCCATGTATGCTATTCTGGTAGTTAGTTTTCGAAAAGTCTAAAATTGCGTGAATACATTGCAAATTTGTGAATACTTATTGAATTTTGAATATCAATAATTTTAAATTACTTGAAAATATAAGAGCCTTAATTTAAAATTTTAATCTTTATTAGAAACGCTACAAAATTTAAATGAAGTTTTCCAAAATGAGTTTTAAACTGAATATAAAAACTGATGCAAATAACTGTTTCAGAAGACCTTTCAAATAAGAATAACATGTAAATTTAACAAGGTAATTTCTTATCATTAGTTAAAAGAATACTCCTTGCTATAATTGAAAATGAACAGCAACCACGCTACACATATTTACATATCATTCAGTTTTAATAGCCTTTTTGGAAATAATTTCGTAACTTTTCAGGTACTGACTGATAAAACTCCTTTAATTTGATATCTGCTACGCTATCTTCAGTTAACACATAACTACTCTTTTGCAAAAAACTCGAAGCACACTGAAGGAAGTGGTTGTTTTTGATGAAATTGAGTATGTTTATAGTTCATACAGAGATATAAAATTAAAAAATCAAGGTCACAGTACCTGTTCACGGCTCACGATCATCCAATGAGTGTTCAAATTAGTTCGTTGAACCACCCCTGGCGGCAATGCATGCTTGTATTCGTCGAGGCAAGGAGTGATAGAGGTTCCTAATGTCATCCTGCGACGCATTCTGCCAGGCATTCATCAGTTGTCCCTCCAGATCTGCGATATTTTGTGGTGCCCGAATCTGGAGGCCTATGTTCCAGACATGTTCGATTGGTGAAAGGTCTGAGCTTGCTGGCCAAGGAAGAACATCATCTGCACGGAGACGGTCCAGAGGCGAGCGGTATGTGGCCTGGCATTTTCTTGTTGGAAAATGGCCCCAGGATGACGTGCCATGAAGGGTGATGCAACCGGCCGCAAGATGGTATCAACATATCGTTGAGCTGTTAAAGATGTACCGAGGATGACTAAAGATGACCTGCTGTGATAAGAAATAGCGCCCCACGCCATTACACGATGAGTTATGGCTGTATGCCTTTGTAAAACAAAGGCTGATTGGGACCGCTGGCCCCGTCCTCTCCAGACATGAACACGGCGGTCATCTGCTTCAAGAGTGAAGCAGGATTAATCGCTGAACACTATACAATGTCAGTCTGATGATCGGCTGCGACACCACTTCAGACGACTCCCCCGATGCTGTGGGGTCAAAGGCAAACGTCTTAAAGGCCTCTGTGAGCGCTGTGAGATGGTGGAAGGTACCAAGGGAGGTATAAACGTGGCTGTAGAGCGTTGAATAGTCGACAATGATACCGTTGGGGCGGTTCGGAACTGGTGAAGTCATCCTATCTTGCCTCGCATTTGTGATCCTTGGCCTTCCAGAGCCTTCATTTCGTCGGCAATTTCCTTGTAACAACCATTGCTGCCAACATCTTTGCACAACAGTGTCTGTACGCAGGTGGCGGCTTGTTGCTCGGTATGACCACTCAGCTTCAGTAACCTTACAATGCGATCACGTTCGAAGTCGTTTAGTTGTCTGTAAGGTCTTCGATATCGTCGTAATGTCATCTTTAGTTGCTTCTTTACTGAATTACAATGGCAGCAACAAAGATTAAATTTTCCGCCTCTGTTACTGGTGTTATTCTTTGCGAATTGCGCACTAGAAATGCGCGCTGTTATTGAAATTCCTGTTCATTTGCCTTGAAACTGATCATTTGCATTTTCTATCAAGATGTTTTTGCATACCAAAGTTAGTAACGATCGCAAAAGTCCTTGGTGCTTCGGTTTTTTGCAAAAGGTATTTTCAGTTAGGTGTCCAAAAAATCAGCCTGTCATGGATTTTGATGCTCTTTGCTGTTTAGAAATTAGGTAAAACTTGACATCCCCCAGTAAGCACAAAGTGATGTTGCCGTCATTACGAAATTACAAATTTCCAGCTATTTTATATACAGTCAATGAGCACACTTGAAATCATGTTAAATGAAATGCGCAAACTCGAGCTGCGACACATCTTATGCTGTCATAATATACACGCTAGAATAAACATGAGCAATGGACAGTACAGTAGGAGCCACTTTGTGTGATCTCGTTTGTCCATGACTTCTGGTAACTACAATGTATCAATGAAATTTAACTAATTTAATTCAAGTATAAGTGAAAAGATCCTATAAATACTTTACTTCATTTAATTAGGACTTTACCCCATTTTAATTAAGAAAAACGTCATCGGTTGTTTATTGTTTAAAACTTAGTGCAAGTTCATTTATAAATTGTTCATATTCCTGTTTTTGAAAATTATTTCATAGATTCTGAATAAGGTAAAATTTGTCTACATATTTAAAAATAAAGATGTATTCAATTTTTTGGTCATCTTGCGTGTAGGTATATTATAAAGCAAAATTCAAGTAACTTCCTGATATAAAAAGCCTGTTAAGGTTTTCGAGTGCATAATAAAAATTAAACAAAACTCGCTGTAATAAGATGATTTCTGAAACTTCTAAAGTTTCCTGCGTTATTATTGAAGATAAAGCCTGAGTAAAAATTTTCAGGCCAGTAAAAATTTTTGAGAAAATGGAAACATTTAAACTGAGGAATTAAACTACTATTTGATTGATAATTATTGAGCTTAAATAAAAGTAAAAAAAGTAGAAAAATTAATTTGCAAATATTTTATTAGAAAATATTACAGAACACACAGATGAATATTTGAGCCTGAGTAAAAACTTTAAGGCCAACATAGAAAATAACATATAAGAAAAAAATTAAATATTCTTAGAAGGTTGTGTAAGAGCCATTTCTTCGAATTACTTCAAATATTCTTGTTTTCATGGATGAAACGAGTTTTTGGACAAAGAGTGGGGTCGGCTTTATACTATTCATCTTCGACAGTAGATTTCAGCTCTGTTGTTGATGTAAAATGTCTCTCATTTGCATAAACTCTTCTTGCTGAGTCACCCCAAAGGTTCTCGATTGGGTTGAGGTCTGGTGATCTAGCTGGCCATTTCAGTTTCAACATTTTTGACTTGGAACCAATTTTTTGTGCTGTTACTCGAATGGATCGATGCATTGTCTTGCTAATATTTCCAATTATCTCCAGCAAGACATTCAGCGTTTGGCAAAAGATGATTCGTTAGGACATTTTGGTATCCTTGTGAATTCATTCTACCTGAAACGAATGCAATTGAACCCACACCATTGTAAGCAAAACAGCCCCTTCCACCTATGACACCTCATGACAGACCACTCCACCTAATTGGCGCTTGGAGAAGTATTTCTTTTTCATTTCTTATATCATGGCCAGTAAAAATTCCAGCCATCTGGTCCCATCCAACTTTTCCATTTTTTTCGTCAGAAAAAATAATTTCTATCCATTGGTTACCCCAGGTCATGACTTTCTGGCCAAAGTTGAAACGCTCTATTTTGTGTCTCTGCAGTAACTGAGGCTTAGTCGATTTTGCTGTATAAGTGAACCTTCCAGACCTTCTAATTGTGTTAGAAATCTTTTTTTGACAAACTTTTAAACCTGTCGTCGGAATCAGTTTCCTGGTTGAGTACTTTCCAGTAGATACAAGCTGGTAAACTCTTCTTTCATCACGCGAGGACAAAGCTTTAGGTCTTCCCCCAGTATTCTTTTTACCATAATTCACTTTCAATTAAAAAAATTGTTGACTATAGTCTTTGATCTTCCTATTTTTATCGCAATAACACGACTACTCATTCCTGTTGAAGACAAAGCTTCGATCTCTCCTCTTTCACGATCAGTTAACTTCTTACCCTTCGCCATCTTCACAAAGATCACCAATACTTCGAAGAAACGTATGATAAATATGAAAATTGGAGCGTTGTCACAAGCTAGTAGTTGCAAATGGTAATTACACGATTATATATTTATTTTTAAAAAATGACTGGTGGCCTTAAAGTTTTTACTCAGGCAGAAATACCAACTTTGTAAATAACCACATGTTTCTCATAATTATGTATTTACAAATTATGTTTATAGCATTTATTTCCTATCAATGAATTTTAATAATTAATATTAGTTGAATCCCTTTTATTTCATTTTACATTTTCTCAAAAAATTTTACTGGCCTTAAAGTTTTTACTCAGGCTGTAAAGTGAAACTTAAACAGAAATCCAGGCCTGTTGGATTTATATTTATGCTCTTCAATGAAGAGATTACTGTTTTTAGTTCTGTACAGTTTTAAATAGCGAATTATTTTGTACCAATTGTCATATTTTCATCGCATTGTACTCAATTCAGTGCTTAATTTTTAATGCATTCTCATTTCAGAAACATTTTGAACGTAAATCTACTTGGTGTACACAACCTTCTGGAAGTCTGTGCACAGAATAATAACCTGAGGGTAATTTATTATAGAAATTCTTATTTAAGCTTATGTTTAAAGTTGTACTGCTTTGAGGAACTTTTGGACTTACTATTTTATTCTTTCTTATTGTGAAATTTTTACTGAAACTTCTTATAAAAATGCATTCTAAAATTCCCTGAGAAGTCCATAATAAGATTCTTTTTACAACAGGCTCTGGTTTATGTATCCACTGCTTACAGTTTCAGCGATTATTCGGAGATTGTTGAAGAAATTTATCCTGATATGGGGGATCCTGAACGCATTATAGAACTACTGGGGTAATTAAAAAATTTTGATAATTCAACCTGTTCATGCAAGACGGTAATAGCCGTTCTGCATTAAACAAAACCAAAATTTCTGTATTTTTATTCTTAAAATAAAATAATGGCTTAAATACTGTTCGAGCAACGAAATCTCCCTATTGTAATCAGTACACAGGTTGGGTTTACGAGGTCTCTTAAATCTGTCACGAGCTGACTGACTTTTCAAAGGGTCCCAGAATCATTAATAATTACTTATAAATGCACATGCAACTCATAAGATTACGGCCGACCAAATGGGAAAGTGACCCTGACTGCCGTACCGAAGACCCCGGGTTCGAATTCCGGAGAAAGCATGGATGTAGGTCGTCTGTCCTTGAATAGGAGATAACGGTGGCCGCCTATTAAGTGCCTCCAACAGTAAAATGACCACCGCGTCTGGCCTTGGTAGTGGACCGAAGCCTAAAATAGCTAGTGCTCGCCATAAAAAAACTTAAGATTAGAAGACCCAAAATATTCATGTGATATGGGCACCACGCCCTGAATACGTCACTTTTGGTATTCCGTATAATTTGGGTGTCGCTTACATAAACTGTCTTTAATCATAAATTATCATTTATGAGGAACATATGCCAAACTGCATTTTGGTCACTTCGAGTCGAGATAACACAATTTCACAGATTACCCTCGTGTCGTAATCGCCGCTATTTTTTTTTCCGACGGCATAAATTCGAATTACGCAGAGGACGTAAACCTGACTTCGCTCGTGTTCAGCTTTTTCGCCCTCAACGTTAATGAACAGCTAATAGCTGACTTGAGTTCTTATCACGTTCAATAATCGGAAAATTTTGTATGCACATTGCAATATCGCGACGAAACCACATAGCGGTGACTTTTTGTTTAAAAGCGTTCGTAACTGCCCACAGCAGTAAAATCATCAGCAATTTTTACGGTTAAACCATATATATTGGTGAAATTTCAATTCTCATTAAAGATAAAAAAAACTAATTACTAAAGCAATGATCCGATCAGTATATCCATGTTTCACATGTAACACAGTAAGCAATAGTAACCTAAATTACAATTTGTACCAAATCAAATTCTCTGCCTTACAAAATTCTCATTGTTACAAATGTTCGCTATTTCATGTGTAACAACCTCTGTAAGTACCTCAGTATCGAATACTGAAAAATGCTGAAAGCTGAATACCAAGCTGAAAAATACATTAAAAAATTTTAAGAGACATGAGCGAGTTTATAACTCGCGTTGTATTTCCTTTAATTTGGAGTGAGTTCTGAAAATCCGGGAGCTCCATTAGATGGCTGGAATACTTTAGGATATAAAGAAGGAACAGAGGAGTTTTAAAGAACAGAAGTTCAGAGGAACAGGGAATCAAAGTATGTCTGACTGCTGTTGGCACTTTTAACGTCAGACTAGAAATAATTTATCCAATAGAAAGTGACTAGATAAAAGGACGAATAATTCAGCAAGCCTAAGTTTATGATTGCCGTTATGTTTCTGTTGGCGTAACTGCACACAACAAAACTGTTAGTCACATGGCTAAAGTCTCTGGCATATATATGCCACCCTCAAGAAAAGATTTCTAATTTTCAGTTTATATGAAAATTTACAGTGGGTTTTGTTCTCTCCGCATTCGTGGCGTGAACGTTTAGAAACGGAAGTTGCTTTACTTTAAAAATTCGGCTTGGGAAAAGTCTGATGGTTATGAGCAGTTGTTCCCTGTTTGGTCTTTATTTCCGATCAAAAATGAATGAATGAATAAAACATTTTAAAGTATTTTTAATTGGTAAACTTATCTAGGCTGGAAGGTTTCTAAATGGAGAACTATGCAATTACAATTGATTTCAATTTCGTATTTTTCTTAAACTGATCATTTGCAGTAGAATATCGTTACACTATCTTTTGTAGATTTCATTGCCTTGTTCCAAAAAACTGTTAAATTGAATGTAACCATCAAATACTGACTTAAAATGAGTCATGATTTTATCCTTTTTCTTAGATGGATGAACAGCGCGCAGATGAAACAATATTGCAGCTATTTCTTGAATGGCCGTCCATCTCTCTATCATTTCTCTAAAGCCATGGCGGAAATTCTGATTGCAGAGAGATATCGTGATCTTCCTTGTATTATAGTACGACCTTCTATAGTAACAGCAGCTGCAGAGGAACCTTACCCCGTAAGTTCGTGTATAATTGAAAATTATAAACGGATGAATCTTTGTTTGATAGTTCAATAAATATATAACTGTGCATTATGTAGCAGAATTCATAGATCTTGAAATATTTTGTACTTCGCATACTAACCAATGAGCTGTATAAAAAAAAAAAATTCATCAGTTGATTTCGGCCCAAAATACACGATACGATAGCCTCTTTTTAAACTGAGCTTAGCTATTTTATGGCCCCCTTAACAGTCTTGAATATTAATCGAGAGATACAGTTCCATATAAAATGGAAGTGACCGATTTTTGTAAAGTTTTCAAAAATTCGACTTTTACATAAATTTTCTATAGAACTCATTTTTCTCCATCAGATAGCACTCAATTAACACATTTGGCCCCTTCTAGTAGGAGTGCGGGTAAAGAACTGGGTATCAGCTAAGAATTTTATTCCTACGTAATTTATATATTTAATATTGTACAGTTTTTCTTATACAATGAGTTAAATGGAAATATTGCCTACGAAAAGACTCGCACCCACCTTTGTGAAAATAATCCAGTTTGGATTACATGGGTATTTGTACTTCTCGTCGCGATTGCGGCGTTCCCGCATCTTAAGTCCAAAACATGTAAATTTAATTATAAAAATAATTGGTAATGAATATTCAATGTATGGGAAATAACTTGAGTAAAAAATTCAAACTCTATTCTGCATAAGAGTTTCTCTGTTCGATCGTCGGATTTAATCACATTTGCGAACAAAATTAGATTCACGCAAATGAGAATATGTACATAATCTACTCGGATGGACACTCTTGCCATCCGTATCTTAATATACATATTGCATAACCACTGTAGAGAATAGCACAAGCAGAACGCACAAAATGACAGCCAGCTTTCCGCCTTTTTTCCTACTCTAAGATGCCATAATCCTCCAATTAAACAATACTCAAACATTAGATCTTGGCGTCACTTCTTTCCGAGGTTAAGTCTCAGAAATACTTTATGCTATTGCGAACCTAAAATTTCATATTGCAAATTGTTGTAAATATCTTCTTACTCGTATATTCAAAAAGTTTCCGCTTTTGGAATTTATTTATGTTTAGGTGCACTTCGTAAAGCACTAATTTCGGGGCATAACCTGTTATTCAACAAATTCATGAAAGATGATAATAAAATGGCATTTCCTTTCTCGTGGTCATTATTAAATATAAACGTTTCAGAATACTTTTTACGAATTTAAAGTTTGTGCCCACTGCAAGGATAGAATTCCTCTTCATTCCAACTATAATTTGTTTTAGTACTGTTTTAATAAACGTAAATAATAAAATTTTTGCTTTAATTACAGATGCATGCACTACAATAAAGCATCGGAAAGTAATGTTTTCCCCTTCAGTATATTTGATTTTAAATTTTATTGCTGGGATCGATTTGATAAATTCGGATAGTGGTTAAATATTATCCCGCATAAAATTCTAATATTATTGCTTGCACTAATAAAGATTTTTAAATACTTAGATCAGAATCATAGCAAGGGGTTTCAGTGCCAGGGGACATTTGAAGATTTTGCTCCGCACTTCTGTGTGCTGAAAATGGAAAGCATTTAATTTTAAAATTTCATAACATCAAGTTGTGCTCCCTGGATGCTGCCACGTGCGGCCCGGGGACAGATATCTCCCCTTGCCCCACCCTTGCTAGGCCACTGACCTAGATGATAATAAAGATGACGTAACTCAGGGCTTCCTCTAGCGTTAATTTAAAAATTGGAATTGGTAGTATGTAAATTCGCTAGTAATTTAAGTTATATAATGTCCTTGTATTTGCCGTTCACCGCAGTTTCACCCAAACGGTCAAGTAACTGGATAACTTGACTAACCAAAATCAACCGTAACAAACGAAAACAACAAGCCATATGAACAAATACGAACCTCCCTGGAGACCGATTGGATAAAAGATTACAGCTATAAATAATGAGTAAGTGAATCTCAAGTCGCATCTGAATTGGATTGATGGCAACACTCAAATGACCCCCCCCCGGATGGTGATTTCATTAAAAAAGCAGGTTATAATAGACGTGCGGCAAATAAGTATTTTACTAGTCTCTAAGAGAAAAGTGGCTCAAATTTGCAAATATGCATGTAAGTAAACATTTAGCTTTCTACTAAGCGGTCCGTTTTTAATAATAAACGATAATTTTAATATCCGTGGGTTAGATGGTGGAGTTATGGTTCGGAAAAATTCGAATCAACAGGGGATGAAATTCTAATCAATTTATGTGAAATTGTCAAACATGGCGACTTCAGAAAGTGACATTAAGACTTCAGAGCAACATTTCGCTTGAAACATATAAAAGTTTGAGTCATGGTACGTTTGAGAGAAGTAATGTACCTCAAATGATTACCTACCGATCATTGAACATGGTTACTATATAATCTTCCATAAACTAAATACCGTACGAAAACATTTGATGTTCTTCATTGGTGGCATTTTTGTTTCTTTAAATTGATCTGTTTTTCCTTGTAATATTCATATATACAATTTTGTTCAACCGAATTTGTTAATTTTTCATTTTCTTATTAAGGTTTTTTTAGACAAATTTTTATTTACGGTCATTACTGCGTACGAAACTTGCTGTACACAGTCCACAGAATTTCTTACCCTTTGTTGTCGCAACTTTTGGTCAGAGGAATATAGTTCTGAAGTTTCAGATGAAGCAAATAAATATTTTGACATCTTTATATTTAAAATTTATCTTCTAAAAATTCAAGATCTACCTTTTTATGCGTTGCCCTGGGGCCTATACTTAAATTTGAGAACTCTTAATAAAGTGTGACTAGCATACGATGAAAATTAGCCGAGATATCTAAGTTTAAACATTTTTGAAAATTCTGGGGTCTTATATAAATTTCAGATATCAATATTTAAACTTCTGTGTAACAAACTATCAGCTTAAAAGGTGTTGTAATAGAATAAGTGACGAGCCATTGATGTGTAGACTGCCGTGAAAAGTTTTTATCACTACAGAATGTTTATATAGATATCGATAGTAAGTTTTAGTACGGAATGTAAATGAAAAACGTTTATCTAAATTGGGGAATCTGTCTCCATATTCTTTTGAACAGGAACAAAAATCAAAGCTGGAACAATATTTTTATTAATCAATGATCTTTATTTTCTGTCAGAAATTTATAGTAAAATTTCTGTTACTCTAAAATGAGATTAATATATAAACCAAAAGAAAATTGTTAAGTTTCGTAGTATACAAAGATATTTCGTTAACTGAAAGTTTATGCTAATTAAGAAAGACATATTAATAATTCTTTATGATTATACTTTAAATTTTAAGAAATGCTAAGGCGAAACAGATTTTCTTAAGTGATATTAACATAATATTTGTTTGAAATGTCTGCCCTTAGTTGCTGTACATACTGTGCCCATAAAATGTATTTCTGAACTCTTCACTCATGTACTTCAAGTTAATGTATGCCAGAGAAAATATATCATTATATCATTAACTGTTTTTTCAAATCCTCCCGTAGAGAAAACATATTGGTCGTTTTAAGTCGGTTGATCATGGGATTCATTGCATTTGACCCCACAATCCAATGTTCTAAATGTATTCTCAAAACCTGTATGGCCTTGCGGATTTGTCTGAGCACCACCATACCGAAACTACACATTTGAGAAATTGTTTGAGACATCTGAACTCGGACGATGGTCTATTCAGACAATAGTAAAATTTAATATTTGTATTTCTCGTCGACTGAAGTTTCATAAAAAAGTGAATGTTCCAATTAGTCTTTCGTTCCATAACCCACACCTAGCGGTTATTAAATATACAAAAATAACAAATCTCAAAATCCTTGAATAACCTTAAATGGAACTGAAAACAACCCCGTTTATCCTAATTTGTGACCCATGAAGAAATGCAATAAATTTAGTTTTTACTTTGTCCCCTGATGAAATGCGATAAACTCGATTTTTTGGCTTAGCGAGATCCTTAATTCTCAAATTTGAAATTAAATATGTCTGTCTCAATTTTTATCTTATGCAGGTGAAACTTCCTGTATTTTGTTTTAAGAGTATATTTTCCTAAATATACATGCAGGGTTTGGGGAAATGTACGGAAGTTAGAACTCTGTTTTAAAAAATTAACTTTTCTTTATTTAAAAATATCAAATCATGAATATTTATGCCGCCGTTCAATACCATGTTTATAATTGGAATGTCTTCGACCAGCTGTTGCGAAATAAGACTTGGCAAGGACTTTGTGGCGACAGAAAATGTATCGCTTATTATGATCTAAAGTTCCGTTAATATGAGCAAAATATAATTGAATAAATTTCTTTTAAACTAAAGTAAATCGTCAGATGAAGTTTAAATATATCGTAAAACTTAGCAAATAGAAAAGCTTTTAAGTTAGTAATTCGCAAAAAAGCTTGTTTTGGATTTTATCCAACCATTTAAAATTGAGCAAAAACGCAACCCTAGATTTCTGTAAATTTTGAATAACTGTATCGATTTTGACTGACCAGACGGTTCAAGAGCAAAAAGAATTTTTGCCCACCTACACCAATATAAGGTTGCTTTTTTGCGCAATTTTGAATTTTAAATTGGTATATTCTCTTACCGTGAGGGATGCCTTTCAAGTATTTTGGGCTAAATAATTTACACAAAAAACTGTATGAACAGTTCATAATGAAATTTTGCATTAAATATATTGTGAAAACTGTATGAATTTTTGGATTTTCTTAAAATACTGTTCAGCGTACCTGTTTTTAAGATAGCAATTGTAAATTCCATTTCTCTTTTGAAGGGCATTTTTTCTCATAGTTTAAAGTTATCATTCGGTTAATATCAAAATTGCCGTGGACAAACTATCATTAATTCTGTAGTTTTTCTATACTAATTTGACACTTCAGATAAACGGTACGAAATTCTAAGCTAAATTTCTAATCCCTTTGACAAAAAGGAATTCTAGATCTTGCGAATTGCTTTCGAGCAAAATGCACTGTTTTCTGAATTGGTTTGAATTTTTAAATCTTGACCGACAACTTTGGATGTTAGACAAATATAACATTATACGTAACTTGAGCATTTATATTTTGAAATAAAGCTGCAGCCCATGAAATATGTTATTTGAAGACATGTTACAGGAACATGGAAATGGCGGAATCGAGGTGAAAGTGCCGAACGTTTTGTATTTCATTTCTTTACCTTTTTACCGCGATGTCGCTTTAACTAAGTTTTGTCTTTAATGGATATAATGTCCGCATATACCCACATATTCATGAATCTTAATATGTCGCCTTAAAGCTTTTTATTATCGCATGATTTGACATATTAAGAACTGTCGAAAAACGCGATTTCAAATTAAGGTGATTGTAAGACTGAACTTTGAATCTTAATTTAGTTGCCTTTATTTTAGGGTTGGATTGACAACCACAATGGTCCTACTGGTTTCCTAGTAGGGGTGAGTATGTTAAAAATTTTTAAACTTTCATATTTTACATTTTGCAGCGCTGTTGTACTACTAAACAGATTTAAATTACATTGTGTTAGCATATGCCACATAACTTGCACATCTTAGGACAGACAACATTCCAATGCATGTTAAATTCAATCAATAGGGAATTTAAGTGACATGTTTATAGATTTAAACACTTATCTGTGTGGTATCGCAAAATGCGAGTTTTTCGTATTCGCTGTGCCTTAAAAATATTACTGAATTCAATATTAAATGTCTTAATTCAAATTTTCTAAATTCTGGATTTCTTATCCAATGCTCTATTTCATTATATTACGAAGTACGGGTGCTTTCGATGTTTAAACATTTACTCAAACTCTCGTGTGGTGGAGAATATTGTATTCCTTTAAAGTGATTGATTTCTAGCAGTAAAATATATGGTTACATGCTAGTTATTATTATTATTATTTTTATGTCTTAAGCATAGAGCAGCAAATACACTCATGTCCATAAATTAAGGATAATACAAAATCAGGCAAAGGAAGTGTTAGAAGCAAAACAAATTTGACTTATTTGTAAAGCTTATTTATTAAACAAAAAGTAAAGAGCAAAAAAAGATGCTATATGTGTAATATTATTAAAAAGTTAGCGATTTTTTCTCCCTGGAGCAAATTACATAAAAAAACCTATTTACAAAAAATCAATATTACATGGTTGTTATGATTGTTAATACATTGTATGTCTCCCAGACGATGCAATACAGTCCGTACAACGCCTAGGCATGTTGAGTATCAGATTATCGATCTGATCTTGGGGAATATTACACCACTCAAAGCAATGCTTTCCGAAGCTCCGGTAGACATGTAGGAAGAGGTTGACAGGCTGCAACTTGTCGGCCAAGCATGTCCCACACGTGCTCTACTGGATTCAAGTCTGAGAATGCTGGCCAGTCCATACGGGTGATATCCTCCGATTGAAGGCATTCGCTTACGATGTTTGCACGGTGAGGACGGGCGTTGTCATCTATAAACACAAATTGTGCGACCATAGCGCCCCGAAACAAACGTACATGTTGTTCCAGAATGACGTCCCGATAGATTTGGCTTGTCATGGTTCCAATTTTAACATGTAGGTCAGTTCTGGAACCCAGAATAATTCCACCCCAAACGAGCACTCCTGCACCACCGTAACGGTGTCGTTCAATGATGTTTTCTTGGTGGTAACGGGTACCTGGAGCTCTCCATATGAAAGTCCGGCGATGATCAGACTACAAGCTAAACCTGGACTCGTAGGAAAACATCACATAAGCCACTGTTGCGGTGTTTACAATGCATGCTCTCTACTCCAGGCTAACCGCAGGCGACAGTGAGTTGCAGTAAGTGCAACGCATCTGACAGGTCTACGAGCATATAGACCAATCTACCCTAAGCATCTGTACACGGTCTGCCTTGAAATTGTCGTACCAGTGGCTGAAAAGATCTGACGAGACAGGTCTGAGGCTGTGCTCCGCCTGTTTCATTTGGCAGTAACTGCCAAATACCGGTCGTCATTCGGCGTTGTAACTCTGGGGCGACCTGTGCTGTAACGTCTACTCGCATTACCATCATCTTGGAATCGTTGCCAAAGCCTGGAGATGACACTCTGGGAAATTCCAAGTTCGTCTGATACTTCCAGTTGGGTACGCCCACATTCCAGACAGCCGATAATTCTACCACGTAAAAAATCATCCAAATGCGTCCTTTGTGTCATAACTATTCGGTTATTGCACTGAAATGCTTATGAAGCGCCTGCGAACAATTTTACTTATTTGCCTGTATTCCTTATATACCACTCTCTTACACTCGTCATTGTGACGTACCATCAGTGTCATCTGATTACTTCCTGAAATTTGCATATGATTCTTGAAGATGTGTGTAGTGATTTTACACGTGATATATTTATTTTAAAGTTCGATTTCCGCGTGACTCCGAATTATGCTTAATTTATGGACATGAGTGTATTTTAAACCTCTTAGTAGTTCAATGTATTTCGCATTGAAATTTTAGTTAAATATTTTTATTAATTGAGGTTAATTTCTCTAGAGTGGCAAGGGTATTGTAAGGACTCTTCTACTGAAACGTGGAGTTACTGCTGACTGGGTCCCCGTTGATATTGTAGTCAACACACTGATTGCAGCAGCCTGTTACAGGGCCCATGAAAGGTAATCAAATGTTTCAGGTAAAGCAAAATGTATTATTTAATGTCTTTTGCGAGTTTTTAACAGTACTGCAAAACATTTAAGCTCCTATTTCCGCAAAATTTAATCGCTTAAATTAGGATCTCAAAGACGTTTATGCATTTGTCGCATCTTGATTTTGAGCTTCATCGCTCAACTTTAGATATTCAAACCTAAACGTTTTGGCCTGGATGCTTGAAAGTACAATATCATTGAGAAAGCTATTGCTACGGAAGCTACTGCTGACCCCGCACGGTAAATTTCATCTGCGCCACAGAGGTTGTCCTGAACAGTTAATTTCTTTGGAGCCACAGAGGCCAATCTAATAATAGCATGATAAAAATTTAATTTCCAACGTGAAATTTATCTTTCAGTAGATGAATTTAAATAATCCTTTGTGAAAATATTTTTAATGGTACATCAAATCAAATAACCATAATGATGAAGTTCCTTTGAAATGCAGAAATGTTCTCAAACCTTCCGATTGTGATTGGCATGGTTATAGGTCGCCGCAGTCTGCTATCACTCCTCATGCGCGGCTTTTGTTGGTCTTCCTATCGTACGTTTTACAAGTTTTGAAATTTGTGATGCTTCCTAGATTTTCTACTTTATTACTTCTAATAGCTTAGTCATGTGAATTTTAAAACTTTCTTTTCATGTGTCAACCAACTCGAGTTAATATTGTTAGTTAATATTCTGAAAGAGTATTAAACAACGTTTATAATATAGCTGTGAAACACTCGGCGATTCTTCGTATTTGATTACAACCGTTTTCTCAAGTTAATATATGGCTTTCTTTGCAACCTAAAGTAAATTTAAAATCATTTCCATAAATTATTGTTTTATAATTTTTTGACTAAACATTTTGTCGAATGTTTCGAAAACTCCAAAATATGCTGTCTATTATATTCTAAAATAACTGTAGCTATTTAAGACCAGAAAGCAGTTTTTTATATTGGTCTAAGTATTTAGAAAAGATCCTTAAATTATCTTTTGAAATATTAACTTTACTAATATTTTATGTCTCTGAAAATTGAGCAACACTACTTTTCTTTTCAGTCATCTTCCTCGTTTAACAAGAATGTCTCAAGCTACAGGAGTTCCTATTGTAAACTGTACATGCCCAGATACTAATCTTATAGAATGGACTGAAGTAGTGAAATTGTGTCTTCCCTATCTCATAAAATACCCCAGTGTTAAAGTATATTATCGACCTGGAGGAACAGTCACTACATCTGAAACAGTATACAAGATGTGCACTTTCTTCTATCATTACGTTCCGGCTGCTATTCTAGACGTCGTTTTTTATATGACAAGAAAAAGATTTAAGTAAGATTTGAGTATTATTTATGAGTTCGTTTTATTATACATGTAGACCATCAGTACAATGTTTTCTTGACTCAAACATGTCAAGCCTACCTGGTCCCTCAGGTGCTTGGAAGAAACCTCTATAGGATAAATAGCAATCGAAATTAGAAATACAAATAGAAGCTCAATATGAAATTTTGCTATTCTTTAATTTCATGTAACAGTGCGTATACTACAGCATTACGCTACATAGAAAGCAGTTTTCTATGTAGCGTAATGTTATGTAGCATTAACCCTGCTTCACATCACCCAACAGATCTGGAGCATTTAAATTCGCTGATCCGGCAAAGCTCTATTACTTTGCCAAAATTGTTTTTTTAATTGCACTACTTACGTGCAACGGTTACGTGAACACGAAATGGTCGTTTACTACGTTTTCAGCTTAAAATTTCGATCTCCTCTATATCATTAAACCCAGATCATAATTTCATTGAAAATTTCTAAATTTCGATGTAGTTTTAATAGGCTTAAATATATTTCAAACACGAATAATCCTTACTAGCACTACAATCGATTCATATCTACTTATTGCATTTGGTTTAATCAGGGTTTAATTATTCTTCAGATTCATTAACAGCCGTCTGGCTGATGCCGTTCAAAGCATTTATTTCGACAGTTTAATTCAAGGACGTTGAAAACGTTAGTGCCACACTAGTGGCTGAGTGACTGAAGAACATTCAATCCTGGTAGTTAATCCCAAGTTCAAACCCAGGCGAACGGACTGGGTGCATGGATGATTTTTGTGATTTTTCTCACATGTGTCACGAGAATGCGAACCAGTTTCTTTAGAATAGAATGTCCTTCATGAAGGCATTTCTTTCTCCAGGCACACAGTCCTCTTATGTTTTGCGCATTCAAAAAGCCTAACCTTGAAAATGTTAATTGCAAAACTTCCTCGGGGAATTCATCGCACATTTAATATCTTGATTCCCTTCGACCTTCCTAAACAATCCCTTCCCAAACATATAGGCCTTTAATTCGTTGTTCAGTTTTTGAAAGAAATGTATAACTATTTTTCTATTAGAATAAAAACTACTTTTCAAATAAGATTATATTTAAAGACTAATTCATGTTTTAAAAAAAATTCCCATTTAAAATAAGCTCTTATTAAATTATTTCACTATTCTTCCCTTTTACAGTATGGTAAACTTCTATCGGCGCATACATGGTATCATGGAGAATCTGCAGCATTACACCACGCACAAATTTGTTTTCCGCTCACCTAACATGCAGAGGCTCATCAGTCTTGCGGCTCCTGAAGATGTGCAAGTAAGGTTCAGTAAGATCGATACAACTAAATCCTTAATTTCATTAATATATTGAAGTCTGATAGAATATATCGCGTTTGTATCTCTAATTTTTAAGACTTATTGATATATACTGTCGTAACTATCTGTGCAAAACTTTATCTTGCTGTCCTCTTATTAGACTAAAAGTGAAAAAAAAGGCCCACTGTTATAATATATAGTGTGTTGCGGTGGTGCTAAATGTAAAAATGAAATAGAATTAAGTGTAGTGAATTAGAATTACTTGAGCACCAAAAATAGTCACTTGGCGTTTTTTGAATTAAAGGATTAGCAAATGTAAATCAAATGAATTGCTTATTTGGTAAATCGCGTTGTGTAGCAATAACCCGTAAATACTTACTAACGTGCAGATCAAAATGTGTGATCTAGAAGGAAATATGAAACCTAAGTACTTACCCAAAGTATGACAACTGTATCTTACCAAATCAATTATATTTTATTCTTCATATTTGATATTGAAATAAGCATTAATATAAATAAAATTATCAACCAGACAGACTAATAAATTTGAACATCAAGCACGAGTGATGCGCATCACCAGAATTAACATTGCACTCAGAGTAAAGTCAATCTTTCTCCATCAGCTCGAAACAGTCTTGCTGTAAAAGAAACAATCAAATTTTGATGGCAGTCATTAAGCGTACTTGATTAATCATGGTATTTCTGCTTTTTCTTAAAATAACTAAATTTCAGATCTCACAAACACATGCGCGCGAAGAGTTCTCGAAAGGAGGAAGAAGCTGAACAAAAATTTTCTGCAACAATGTACAGGAAACAGGAGTAATTACTTTCTTGAATCTTCATGTAAAAATCTCACTAAAAAGGATTTTCATGTATAGCAGACAGCATCGAAGGAAGAGTAAAGAGCGGCAGGAAAATGGCACATCGCATCGGCCAGGGAGAGGGCAGACCGAAGCCCGTCCTACCACCTCAAACGGCAGCAGCAGAAGAGCGAGAAAGCGGTTGTTGCAATCTTTTTAGTGTTATCCTTGAGCGGTTGCGGTTAGCACACCTGACTATGAATAATGTGGAGGCTTGCCTGCACACCCACCATGGGTTGAGTAGATTAAAACACTATTGGCCATCTTTGAATCTCAGCAAGCGGATTGAATGCGTCTGATTATCGTGGTTTTTTAAATTGCATGACCAGCCTTCTTGCTTTCCAGATGGAAGTTTGGAAGTATGCCTCCTCCAATTTTATGCGGGCAGATAGGCGGCTCAAAACTGGGCAAAGCGACAACCAACTTTGGTGTGTTTTGACACTATCGATTTCGAGGGCGACGGGTACAAGTCCCTCATCAGAAGGAAAATTCTGCAGATGAAGTGGAACGGTGTAGAAACCTGGATGCCTGGGCCCAGCGACCTACCCCGAATCGCACGATTAAAAATTTAAAAATATACTTAGTAATACATTAAGAAAGGAGAACAAATTCGCATTATTGAAATTTTTTAATATATTATAAATGTTGGAGGAGATTGCTGTTCAGAAATCTGATCGAGCTGGGACGAAAGATATTTCACTGTACAATGTAATTTAAATAGAATAGGTACAATAATACAGTGAAATAATACAAATAAAGGGAGGAAAATTTCAAAAAAAATGACGTTGAATACTCCATTATGACCCTGGGATTAAATACGGCCACGGGCCGCTTTTTATGCTGTTCATCAACATAGATTCGAAGATCTGGATGAAGTGTTTTCATTTTTGCATGCCATTTTCGTGCAGGATGGTTATAAAATGATCGGTACTCTTCTGTTATCGGGACCGGATTTAGATATGTATGTGGGAATCGTGCTTCAACGGTGCACCAGATGGCACTATCTACACCTAAAGTAGGATCAAGGGATTATTGTTACGGAGTGCCTTTGCAACTTAATGCAATAACCTCCACATCATCGTTGATAAAATTGAAATGGCTGAGAGAAAACCGTACGTTAAGAGAAACGAAAGAAAGCCGATGGGCTGAAAGAGCAATCGATATATTGTCCTCCGTAATCTGACAAACCTGTATTGAGTCACTGCGCGGGGCGCTAGCCCCACGCTCAGTATCGTAACACAGAACACACTTCTCTTGGTTCTAAAAGTCAGACAGAAGCGGTCTAAGGTAGCGATCACGAAGAAGCTACAGAAGACTTACTGATCGCGCGTAGGCGATCAGACCTGAGCTGATCTAAAGTGAAGACACGTAAGTGGTTATCATTTACCTGTGCGTACAGGAACAATCATTGACATTCTTCTACGACATACTCGATCCACATGTACAAACTCATCCCATTTATATTCTTCTGTGAATCGGGAAATAAAACCTGATGCTTGGAATAGTGGGTGTGATCTGTTTTAATAAGACATTCTCCCCGCATGGCTATGTGGGTGTATGTGTTCATGTATGCATGAGTGTATGCAAATATACACATACATATATTTCTGAATCTGATACGATAACAGAAGAGCACCAAATGATCTTATTTGTAAAACTGAATTTTTCATGGACGACATTAGAACGTACCAGGGTGCTTTGGAGACCTGCCTCGGAACACAGTTCTGTGCAGTTTGGGAGTATTCTTGTAAATATGACAAATCTTCAGACTAGAGAAGCATAGCATAACAAGGGCTGCAACATGACTTGTAAATGAGTAACTTGCTGTCAACAGATAGAACGCAGTTTCGAGCAATTCAGGGGTCTAGTTTAGCTTTACGAACTCAAACGTTTTGGAGAATAGACTATGTATAAGGTCCAACTGAGAGAATTGATGAGGATCACCCCGAGAGAACGGACGTGCTTAGCCCAGGGCAGAGTCGTTACATATAACTGCAGAAGCAGTGAAACTTGTCCTCCTAATGTTTCTACGCTGCAAAATATTTCTGAAGCCTAAACCTTAGGTCCCTATGATATAAAGTTTCCAACCAGGTTAATTGAAATTCTCTGGTGAATTTTCATTTGAAGATCTGCTTTCTAATCTCTACAAGAAACGAAGAATCGTCAGGTTAGTAAACTTAACTTGGAACGTCTCTGAAATTATCATCATTGTGTCAAGTAAATGCACTACTTGCCTGTATTAGCTGCATTAAATTTGTACAACTTGTTTTGATGCTAAGTCGCTTGGCTTACTTTGTGTTGTGGCAGCTTATTTTGGCAGTACGGTAAAGATTCCATCTTGGCAGGGGAACCCATAGTATCCAGTTAATCTCAAAGTAGCGTTTTCCGCTTGTACTCCCTGATGAAATGAAGTGGGCTGTGGAAATAGTTGCTCAAAGACTTGGAAAAAGATGGCTCTCTGGTATGGAATGCCTTTAACAATGCAGCATTAATATTTCCTTACGGTTTGTGATAAAAATTGGAATATTGTATCTTCCTGTTAAGATGCTTGTTTTGTCGTGCTTTAAATTTCCTCCTTAAATTTTAGTCCTCCATCTGTTTAAGTTCGACATTTCTAGACCAACTTAAATAATGGTAGGGAATGTTTGACGTAGCATTTTTAATTCCGTTTTAAAACGTTTGTATCCTTAATTTTCCCAATACTAAATTTATTGTAATTGACTGATATTTCAAATTCATAACTTACTGGATAATTTTATTCGAGGTGTAAATTCGTTTCAGTAACATAAAATGTGACTTTCTTTCTTTGAAACCTTTTTCATATGCATGCAAAGTACATCAGTATTAAGTCTCAAATACTTTATAAAGTTTCCATTGACCTTTTCCAGTCGAGAGGGTGCCTCTCAGGAAATACGTCATACGTCGTTTCATGCGATGACATTGTTGCTTGTTTTCGATTATCTTCAAAAGATTCTAAAAGTACTTCTTCAAAACTGGGTTCTTCAGATCATTGTGAATTTTTAAATTAAAAGGATAGATCTTTAAATGGCTGACTTTCTTCTTCGAAATTAATTACTGATAGTGGGTCGAACTAAGTCTTCGGCCTCAATCCACACTTCACACCATTGTGTAAATAAGAACATTTCTTTAAGCTTATTGGGACCTAAATCCCTGACACAGTAACGGGAAAAAGAATTAAAACTGTTTAGCAGAGCCGCCGACCAGATGAAGAAACATCTTCATACTTGAGTCTACTAACAGCTTTATCCTTTTACAACCAGTTACTGGTAGGTACGTTCTTAAGAGAATTCGCGCAGGTCATAAGCTCTTGACCTCCGAAAACCACTCTACAGTCTTCCAAGTAGACTACCAAGCGCTGGGCGTTGCGAAACACCAACACATCTACTTCTGACCAACACACTTACACACTGCCGTAGTATGTAAGCTGAAAAAAATGTAACCGATAAAATCGGCTAAAGTAAAAATGAATTTGACTTTCGTTGTTGAATGGCAAAATTCCATCTACACGTGAAACACTTGGTGATACTGAACGAAATAAAACAGGTGAAAATATCTATGAAGTGCAAGAAGACGGAACCGTAATTAAAACGATAGTGATAGACAAAGGAATAGATTACTTCAATAGCATCCAAAAGCATGTGTCCGAAAATAACCCAAGTAATACTTTAATTGTTAGGTCAAAGGGTTATGAAGCTTCCGTTGGGAAGATATTCAATTTGATTCTATTAAAATAGAATGATTCCTTTGTACTAACCAGAATAAATTTCAACGATGAGTAATTTAAGTCTAAATAGAAAATCTCATTTTTCAGATCGGTTGGATATTCGTGATATTTTAGGTAATTAAGTATTAAACGATTGCATAATAAATATATTTTAGGCAATTAAGTATTAAACAAATTAAGACTCTTTTTCGTGACAGCTTTCTCTTCCACATCTAGATATTTCCATTAGACCAAAGCCAACTTAACTGGAAACAGTACATTGAGAATTACGTCTTAGGAGTTCGAAGATACTACATGCATGAAAGCGATGACAGTCTACCAGCTGCTCGCAGGCGCATGAACAGGTAGTATGAATTATTTAACAACCTAACTGTAACCTTGGAAAAGACTTTTAAAGAGTTCTGACATTCGATGCAGGTTTAGCATACATTATGCTTTAATACTTGGCTATTAAATTTCATGTTAAGATTACACCTGCAAAGTGCTAAGACTTGAATTATTTTTAGCATCTTACTTACAAATTCCCTGCCTCTTCTATGGTTTTCTTAATGTGTAGTGTAAATACCTGTTAGTAAGTCCCTGGAGACATCCCTACCCTTAGGCGAACAGCCCTGAGGTGCGTTTTTGTATTCAGTTAAACAACCAGCTTTTGTTAACCGTCCAGATTTATAAATCGACATCTTTTATTTAACAAATTTATAATAATTTAGAACAGCAAGCTTTAAAAGTGCTGTTTAACGATCCATATTTGCTAGATAACGATCCATATTTGCTAGATAACCATATTTGCTAGATAACACTATTTGCAAATAATTATTTACTATTTAATTATTACTTTCTCTTAAAAAGCAGTAAACTTGAAGAACTTAAAGCACAAATTCTTATTTCGGAACCGCGAATAACTGATTATGCACTGCTCTTGCTCGAATGAAGTGATGGGTAAAATGCTGGTATTTACAGTGAGTTAAAATTTACTGCGGTTCAACAAGCTTTCCTTTTTGAATAAAATCCGAAAGTCTTAATACTTTTGTGTACAAACGTAAAAGCATGGTTGAAAACGTACTAGGATACATTTTTTTAAAGCTCCTATTTTAAACAATGTTTTAAATGCATTGTTTTAGAAAACACTTTAGCAATGACTTGCAACAACGTTATTAGGTCTCCTTTAATGACTTCAAAATCTTCTCGGCATAGGATTTTATAGACTTTGAGATTTTCGTTTTTTTCCTTTGAGCAGTGAATTTTACTCTTCATTATCTTAGCAATTTTAAATTCCCCCTTGCAAATGATTTTTAACTGTGTTCAATAGGAATGAAGTCTGAGCTCTGCGTAGGCATTTGACTGCATTGTCTATCCGCATGTAATCTTAAGTCCACAGTTTTTAAATAAGAGTTATCCTTGCGATCATTATCCTGATAAAATTTCTAATGCAATAGTAGTCCCAATATTGAGCGCTAGGTCCAAATGTTTTTAAATATTTAGATAAATTTGCCCACTTTGGTGTCAACAAAATGTAGATTTCAAGTTTAGTAAATATTCATACAGCCCCAGACCATTTGGCTACTTCATCTTTAAACTGGATTCTTCATACTGAAGTTCAATATCGAACTTTCGCTATATCATTTGTTTCCCTTAAGCCTTTCATCATAACCATCATACTCAATATCGATTTTACTTTAATCTACAGGTATAAATTCCAGAAATCTTGAGGCTTTAAATATAGATAATTATATCGGGTTGGAGGAAAAGTTCTGTCGTATTTTAAATAGGCAGGTGATTTTTCTTGTAAATAAAAAAAATCTGGCTAGTGAGTCAATCGGATTTTTTTTTTTTTTAGCTGCTGTATAATATAAAAGGTGCCCTTTTTTACCGTTCATCATTTACTTGTAATATTTAAAGGGAAAAACATGTCGGTAGATAAAGTGCATTTACGACACTGCATTTTTATGAATTCCAAAAAGGAAGCAACGCATCTGTTGCATGTAAAAATTATGTGCGGTATTTGGAAAAGATATTGTAAATTTCGTACTTGTCAAGATGGTTTAGCAAATTTCGTTCCGGGGACCTGAGCCTCAAAGAAAGTGTTCGATCTGGACGACCATCTAAGATCAATAATGATGTTTTTGCGATCCATGTTGGAAAATAATCCACATTTAAACAAGTCGAGAATTGCAGAAGAGTTTGGCATTCATCATACAACTGTTGGGATCACATTAAATCTCTTGGGTTTGTGTTAAAGCAAAGTGTTTGGGTTCCACATGAATTAACGGAAAAGAATTTGTCTGATCGTGTAAGAATAATGTTCATCACATTTGATTAGACCAATGTGGAGCCGTTTTGGACAGGCTGGTTACTGGAGATGAAAAGTGGATTCTTTACGAGAATATTAAAAGAAAAAAATCTTACTGCAAACCAGGAACATCATCAGCAACAGTTCCAAAACCAAGTATCCATCAACGAAAAGTACTGCTTTGTTTGTGGTGGGACAGGAAAGGTCCTGTGTACTACGAGTTGCTGAAACAGGAAAAACCATTAACGCAGATCTGTACTGCAATCAGCTGGATAAATTGAATGCAGCTATCAAAGAAAAAAGGCCAGCATTAGCGCCAGAAAAGGAATAGTGTTCCATCCACGATAATGCTTGCCCGCATACTGCAGTGGTGACACTAAAAACTGAATGCGTTAGGATGGGAAGTCCTTAGTCACCCACCATATTCACCTGATATTGTGCACCAGCTGATTATTACCTGTTCAGATGTCTGCAAGATTATCTAACAGGAAAAAACTTCAAGTCTTTTAAAAGTTTTTCTAAGACAGTTGCTGACTATTTTAACTCCAATGGCCGACAACTTCTACTAAACAGGAATTTACATGTTACCTTGAAAGATGGACAACAGGTTGTAACAAATAACGGAGCATATATAATTAATATTAAACACATATTTTTATAAATGAATTCAAATATTTTCTTTAAAATACGACAGAACTTTCCCTCCAACCCTAGGTTAATTGTAATCATCCTCTTCGATTCACTGCATAGATAAATGAGTTTATTTTAACTATTCGGTCATGCAAGTTATATATTCATAAACATTCCTAAAACAGCTAACTTGCTAAAGTCTACCTGATTTGGGTTTCTAAACTCAATTTGAGGTACTGGGTTTAGAATTTCAAATAATACTTACAACGATCCACATTTTTTCTCATTTGGGCCCACCAGCGGCCGAGCAATAAAGTCGCTGAACACTGTTAGTTCGGTCCGAGGTTAGAATCCCGCGAACGGGCTGGCTGCATGGGTGTTTTCGTGGTTTTCCCCATTTGTAACGTGTATACGAGCCATACCGTGTATACGAGAACGGCTTTAAGCTTTCGATTCAAAAGACTAAGCATTTTTGTCTCACGAAGATCCCGAACTTTATTTGCAAGATGTACCAATTCCTGTAGAAGAGAATTCCCTAGGAGTGCTGTTTGAGAATCTTGATTTCTTTCCACATAATCACCCTCTAAAGTATTTAAAAGTTATGAATATTCTCAGTCTTGTAGAATACCTCTTGGGGGGGCGATCGCTGCTCAGTACTTGTATATAGAGCCCTTATCTGTTTAAAACTTGACTACGCGTCAATTAATTACAGGTCTGCAAGGCCTTATATGCCGACCAAACTTGATCTGTACATCACTAGCCACCTCGTATCTGTACCGGTGCTTTTAGAACATCTCCAGTGGAGAGCCTGCATGTGGGAATGCGACGAGACTTCCCTGTATTTAAGACGAGTATCTTTGTCTTGAGCACTTTTAAAATCATATCGCAAACCAAGTATCAGTCTGTTTGCATTTACTCATTGATTAGTGTTCTTACTTGTATCAGGCACGTCCATCGTGTATACCATAAGAGTAAGTACCTTGCTAAAGCAATACAATGTATCTAACCTCAATATACAACTGCAGAATTTCTTTGGGATTCAAGCTTGCGAGGACCGGAAAATTCACCTTCCTGATACGCTCCAACATAGGGATAAATATAACGCTAGTGATATCATTTACAGACATATCTTTGCGGAAAACGGGCGTAAATATAGAAATTACATCCCTCTTTTTACAGAGGGGTCAAAATCCCGAGATCATATTATTAGTGCAGTTTTTGTAATGGAAAAAAACAATTGTAGGGTTTCGGTTACACCCAGCCTGTTCGGTTTCTATTTCTGAACTTGCTGCTGTTTATCAGGCTTAAATCTTCCTCTCGAAACAGTGTTGCAGGAATTTCCTTATCTACAGAGACTGAGCGCCTTAACGTCATTGAAAGATCCTACTTGTAGTTCGCATCCCATTATTACCGAAATTCTTAAGCTTAATTAAACACTAAAATCTGAGATATGAGATTCTCTAATCCTGGATTCTTAGCCATCCATGCTGGATATAATTCATTTAACTAGCAGATATTACAGCCAAGGCTGCAACTAAAATAGCTAAACTCCAGATTCCACTCAGATATCACGGCGTTGATCAAACATTAAATTCTCAATAAATGGCTGATGTATTCGGATGATCGAGCAAACAATGAGCTGAGAAGTGTTAAACCCAATATAAAGTGCTAGCCTATTTTGTTTAATGGTTAAACAATGGGTGTACACGTTACTTCTCCACATCCATGTAGAGTGCTGGCCGTTTGTGCTAAATAGAAGGGAAGTAATCTAAACTCGGTCGATAATTGGTCACTGACGCCTGATTCATGAGCAACTTCTGTAAGGTCAAAAGAATTCCCTTTAAATTGCAGTGTAGTTTTGACAATTTGCCATATTCTGCTGGAATACCAGTTTTTAAAAAAACATTTTAGTTGTTTCAAATTGGATTTAGAAAATTTAGAACCACCTCGTCATAATTTGTTTGGTTTTAAGATATTGGTTTTTACTATAAATTGTAAGTATATAATATAACTTAAACTATATTGTAACTGCACGCAGTTTAACATCCTTTTTAATCTTTCCTTTAACCATTGGCATGGCACAGATAACCTTGCAAAGTTTTGCGCTAGGAGTTGCGATACAAATTTAATTTACTTTACGGGGGTCAGTTTTCAGATCGTGAACGCTATCAAAATCCGTGAGACGGCTAATCGACAGGGGATACGAAGAGGCGTTATCCCATTGCTTTCGGGATTGAGAGGAGCGTTGGAAAGAGTTATGATGCATGTTAGCGGAAGGTGACTGAAAACATTTCTCCCGCCTCCCAAACTGAGCTGCCCGCAAGCACTTTCAACAAGTTTGTTAAGCAAACTATAACCTAAATTTCATTTTACGGTACAGACGGTTATTGGTAATTTTATCATTACTTTATTCCAAAAGCTTAAAAATACAGTCTAAGGCATTCTTCCAGTTTTATGTAAACGGGCAGACAAAGATGTTCTTAAAACAGTATTTCTACTATAAGTTATATTAAGTCCTTTTGATTAGTTGATATGATGGTCATGAATGTAAAATGCAAGGAATTTTTCTTTCATGTGTTTGAAAAACGTGTCCGACTTCTATTTAGAAATTAATTTATCTCTTCTTTTTCAGAATAACTATCGTATGGACAGCTACACAATTTGCCTGTATTGCTGCAATATTGCATGCAGTTCTGAAAAAGCACTTTCCTGGTTTGTTGGAGTACAGCATTCAATCTATGCGACGCGCATTGCCAGCTACAATGCTATATAAAGCAACGAAGCTTCTGAAAAAATAGGAACTTTTCCATTAATTCATGTTACATTTTACTGCCAAATGATACAGTACAATGGTTCTGTGATTTTTTTTTTTCCAAAATCTTAATGTTTTCAATAAATATTGATTTTGTAAGATCCTGTCTGAAAGATAACACTGAACGATATCACACTTAACTGCGTAAATATGACTAAAATCTCACCCGAGTATATTTTCATCTAGATAAATTTTGTGTACTAACATTCTGCAAATCATTCTTGATATTTAATAGTTTGCAGTTTTAAGTCTTAACTAAGTCGCAAAGCTGAAATTTATAAACATTGAACAACTTTTTCTTACTTTTGCTTCTTCCTTGAGTACAAAAGAATATAAAGCAAATTCGCGTGCTTTCAGTTAACTGAAAAAGAGTTCGACCTTACATTGACATTTTGTAGTATTCTATAGATGTCGAGGAAACCTGGAAAAGTTCAGTATTTCATACACGCACACACACGAATACAAACGGCTTATTCAAGAGGGACTCTTGTAAATTCGCTTAAAATTAAACTTTCAGATTACCAGCCTGTATCTAAACTTGAATTTCTCTTAATATTGTTAACTTCGCGTAGTTTTCTTCTATCTGAAATGACACCACACATGATTTAAAGTTTTAATGCAATATGCGTTGGGCAAAGTTCACGTGACGGTTAAGTTCTATTACTTCTAAAACTTCTGAAATATTCTCTTTGAGCTAGAAATTGAAGTTTATTCGATGGTACAACATGCTTCCGTGCTTGCCATTCATTGCACTCATGATAAACGAGTCGCTTTGATTTTTTTAAACTTCATTATATCTTATTATCTTACTGCAATTTTGTAGAAAACTGACTGCTTTCTCAAGCTCATTTAAAGTTCCTTATTCAGTAAAACATATTTCATGAATTGATTCTTTTGAGACTGCTCGTATGTATTTGCGGGATTTACAGTGGAAGAAAGTATTTGAACAATATAAATTTATGCAATAATTTTACATTAGTTCAAATTAGCTTATGTAATAAATAAAAACTATCACTTGTTACAACGCCAAAAAACTAAATGATGCAAATTTCCAAGAAGGGGAAATATTCGAACAAACATTCGAAAAAGCTTGAAACTTCAAATAATAAATGAAAGGAATGCAATTTGTTTTAGAACGTTTTGTCTTATCAGTTCAAATTCCCTCTTTTGCTTTCTTTTACGAAGTAGAGGAAGTACTTCGCGAAAAATTCCGGGCATCATATTTCAACGAAAATATACCGCTCCCGAATCTATATGAACAACGTTTTGTTGATATCTGTACGGACAAAATAAAGGACTTGTTTCCAGAACGGATTATAAAATAGATTCGAAAGATTTTATCGTGATGTCTGTACGTATAAGTATTTCGCCAATTCAAAAGTGAGTAGCTGTAGTACGTCAAAATTTTGGATGTAGGACTGCTATAACATGTAGTTGTGCACCTCCCCTTTACGTTCCAATCCGCCGAACATTCCCACTGTTACCCGGCTCGGTGAGCTTGGTACTTATTGCGTATTGGTAAATCATGCATTTTTTGTTTTAAAAGTGTTCGATTTATAGTTTTATGTTCCGGTTAAGGTTTTTATGCCTTTAGTTAATTTGCATGCAATAGCTATAGAATTATCAACAATTTATAAAAGTGGCTCTGCTAAGCTTAACGAAGCCGCCATTTGCTAGCATTTGCAACTTAGTAAAATAGTGAATTAAGCGTTTCCGCACCTACTTTTCAGTGTCTTTTTGCCTAGTGGGATCAAAAGTAAAGTTTTGTGCACCGAAAAATCCTTCTTCGCGCTGACCGAATTCTTTGTATTTGTGTAGAAACTAATTTTAACTGCAAAAATTGTTTTAAACTGTATTTGGTGTTTTACGTTTTTCTCAAATTTAAAATTTTTAATGAAGGTGTTTTGAGTTTTATGTATTTTTGCCTTGCTACGATCTGGGAATTAAATGAGAAATACTGAAACATGAAATTCGAGGAAATTTAAAAGAAGTGCAGCAAAAAGCCTGTATAATAAAACAGGCTGTATAAGGAAGTCGTGATTTCCATATCATGACTATTTTTCCATATTTTTATTAAAAAGCGGAATGATTAAAATTTCATTAAAAACATTTTTAACTAGTAGTGTAGAAATATCGAATGACCTTGTATCTTGTTCAGGTGTTCGTATAACTCCAAGAGTAAAATCACCTAAAAAAATTTGGATTTAAAGACAGAAGCGCGTGGAAAAAATCTCAAAGTGAAACTAATAAGAAAAGGCTTAATTTCGCCAAAGGATGTAAAGACTGTTTTCACTGGTGAAAGTAAATTTTGATTGTTTGAATCCAATGGTAACAAAAGGTGTTGGGAGAAAGAAACTACTCCCAAATACTAAAAAATGTATGTCCAACTGTAAAGCATGGTAGTGGGAGCGTTATAGAATGGAGTAATATGAGCTGGAACTCATCTATTAACTGAGGGAATTTTGAATGCAAGAAAATTAGATATTGCGAGATTATTTCAAAGTGTGTAAAAAGTGAGTAATTAAAGATGTCTATTGGTTCCAAGACCTAAACATACAGCTAGGGTTACAAAAGAATCCCTCTTGTATAAAGTTCCCTGAAGGCTGAACACTTGACCCCGATTGTCGGATCTCAATCCTGTTAAGAATTCGTGGTAATGTTTTGGGTCAAGAAGCTATAAAACAAATTTTTAATTAAAATATTTTCTGAAAACATGGGAAAATATAGCGTCAGCTTTAACCAAAAAGTTAGAATCAATGCCAAGAAGATTACAGGATGTTGCAGACAATACTAGACGTTTTATAAAATATTAAATTTTATTTTTAGTATTGGTTTTATTGAAGTTTAAGTTATTTAATTGAAATACTTTTCCCCTTGAATATTTGCCTATCTTGATATTTTTGTTTTGGGTGAGAACTCTAATTTTTATTTTATAACTTGTGTGATCTAGTTATGTAAGAATTTACATTATTTGCAATAAAACTATTGCATAAATTTATATTGCTAGTCCAAAGGGGCAATATACCCAAGACTTATTAATTTCGTTTTGGCATTTTGCGTTGGTTCACTATAAATGTCGGCTCATTTTTCAAACTGTTGCCACCAAATATTAGAGCATGTGCTATATTTAAAAAAATTACATAACGAAGAATCTGCATAAATGTGTTTTTCGCGTTGTGATAAAACAACGGTACTTAGAGCCATCAAATTTTGAATAACGTAATCCTGCGAATATGGGCATCTGGAAGCCGAAATTTGGAATTTGTTTTATTATCGATTTCATATTTTGTAAAACTTCAACGAATTTTTGATTAGCGAACTCAAGGATTTCAAAGCTGGTAATGGCAACGTTGTACAGAAAAAAATTTTATCTCCAGCGGACGAGACAGTGTATCGGAAATTCTAAAGATATGCTCAGTTGCTCTTGAACTGAATTTTACTGTTTAAGTGCGAAGAACATTATATTTAATAAAGGTAACGCACAAAATGTTAAAGGCCCTTTGGACGTAATTTAAAATCTCAAACCTTTCAGATTTAAAAAAAATTTTTTTTTTCGGCTACCTTTTTTTCCTCTAAAGTGTGTCAGCTTTATTTTTCGGTAATTAATGTGTATAAACTATTTATTGTGTATAATTTTATTTGTTCAAGTGGCTTTGCTTTATATTTGTGCAATTTGCTCGAAGTTGAAAGAAGTATTTTTCATTTTATGGCTCTTGCAAGATTTCGGTGTAGTTAAGCCTAGCTCGACGATTTGTTTACTTCGAGTAGTGCCACGAGGTAAAGGAATGCCAGTGGACGAAGAAGACTGTGATGCGTTTTATAGTGCGCTTAAATGTTGCTATGATAAACTTGAAACGTCTGTTGAGTCAAAGTGTAATATGAACCAGAATATTCGTGCAAAGGCAGGGCATGCAGTGTGTGAGCTAGTGTTTGATTACTAAGAATTTTGAACTTATTAAGTCGTTAGGTTACCGTGAAGCTTGTAAGGAAAGTCTTAGACATTTTCGTAAAGCAAACGTATGCTAGTGCTGCGCTGCCATCTCCTGTGGACAATGTGAAACAAACTTCTTTAAGTTGTGGTCTTGTCACTTCTTCGGAAAACCGTTCGTCAGAGGATATTAAAAAGATTCTTAAATTACAAATTAATCCTGTAGAGAAAAAAGTGGGTATTCTCAATCTAAAAAATATTCGAAATGGCAAGGTATTGATAGAATGCCCCTCTGAAAATGACTTAAAGAGGGTACAATCTGAAATTCAAGTAAAATCACCGGAATTAACTGCCTTTCCTTTAAACAAAGGAATCCTACGATCTTAATAAAAAATATCTCTAATGAGATGAGGGTGAGGATGTTCTTGATGTTTTAAAAAATCAAAATCTAGATGTTATTTCTTCTGAAAATAAATGGAAGGAATCTCGAATTCGATTTACGTTAAGGAAATTTCAAAATACGAGACGTTTAGTTGTTGAGGTGCATCCAGACATGCGTAGGGCTATTTTACAGGAATGTAGATTAAAAATTTCTTGGAGTATTTATACTGTGGATGATTTTACCATGATTAATCGGTGTTTTAACTGTTTAGGATATAATCACTGTGCTGAACATTGTGAAAACCTACGGTCTGGTTATTTCTGTGCACGTGAACATGAAAGTAAAAATTGCCCACATAAGAATTTGAAAGTCTATCAAATGCATTAGATGCAATCAAAAAATAAAAGATGATGAAAAAAAATTAAATGTAAGCCATTTGCCTTTTTCTGAAAGTTACTGTTGTCATGAATTTATAAGAAGTCAAAATATATCAAGAACAAATTATGGATAATAGTCATAATTCTATTTTAAAATTTGTTCAAATTTACATAGATGTAAGGCTGCTACTCAGCAACTTGTTTTAAATATGGAGGTAAACAATATTTCTGTTGCTTTTATTTAAGAGCCTTACTCTTATCATGGTCTTATGCCTGGCTTTCCGAGTTCCTTTAGGTTATACTATGATTTTAATTCAGAAGTCATAAAGGCTGCTATTGTTGTTCGAGCCGGATTTCTACCTATGTTTTTGGATTTGAGATTCTTTGATTATAATATGGTGACTCTTGATATT